GGATCTCTGTGAGTTCGAGGCCAGCCTGGACTACCAAGTGAGTCCCAGGAAAGGCGCAAAGCTACACAGAGAAACCCTGTCTCAAAAAACAAAAACAAAAACAACAAAAACAAAAATCGGGACATGGACATTTTGGGGAAAGCGCACAGACAGGATCTGCAAGAACAAGGTGTTTGGGGTCTAAAGTTCTTAGAAAGAGGCTCGGCTGGAGTGGAATTGGAAGAGTGAGTGGAGAGGGGGGGAAGACTGACCTCTCGTTTCTACCCCAGGGCGGGGCTGTGGGATGCAGACAGGGGTGGGAGGGGTGGAGGGGGGTGCAGCCCGGGTAAGAGGCTGTCCTGTGGAGATGATAGTGGCCTGAAGGTGGCAGGGAAGGATCAGATGGTAAGTGAGAGAGAGAGCGTAGACTTCCCTACATACCTTGAAGACCAAGGCCCGCGTAGCCAGAAAAGTTGAATTGACCTTGAATGGGTGGGTGTGTGGACAGGGAAGGATAGATTTGAGATCATTAGAATCAAAGTTTGGATAAGGTAAGTTAGAGATCCCACTGCATGTGAGAGCTCCCGAGTTAGACTCGTGATTCGGGGTGGAGGCCAAGCTGGAGTCTAGAGCAGGGAGTGTTAAAGCCGTGAGCCTGGGAGGGGAAAGGTAGGTGAGGTTGCAGGCCACACCCGGGGCACCCACAGCCGTATTTGAGAGGTGATTCTTCAGTGGCGCACACCTTTAATCCCAGCACTCGGGAGGTAGAGCCAGGCGGACCTCTGTGAGTTCGAGCCCAGCCTGGTCTACACATCGAGATCCAGGACAGGGTGTTCTGTTGGGTGTGGCCATAGGTTCTAAGAGACCTGTGGGTCCCAGGTTTCCCTCACCTGGGACACTGACCTTGTGTGCCGTCCCTGCAGCAGGACCGCTGTCTTCAGCTTCCCAGAGCCTTGCAAAAGTACTGTCCCTCTGAGGCTGGGGGAGGCTTCACAATTCCCGGACCACCATTAGGCAGGCAGGCCGGCCGGCCAAGCCTCAAGCCTTGGCTCTTGCTCTGACTCGGCCCTCCATTACGGACTGCACAAAGAGCTCTACCCTGCGGGGAGGGATCCTCTCTGCCTGGGCCTGACTAGGTGGCGAGAGTGGCTGCCAATGGCTGTGGCTGGAAGACACGGAGGCAGCAGGAATGTTTGATGAGGAGCCAGCAGCAGCAGCTGTGTGTGCCCGGGCTGCGGGAGGAAGAGCGGAGTTTTAATTGGTTGGTTGGTTTTATTTTGTTTCTGAAATGGGATCTTGCTATGTAACCCGGCTCCCAGGTACTGGGATTACAGGCATGCGTGCCGTCATGCCCAGACATGCTCATACCTTAAAGGGATCTCAGATGAGATTTCCAGAGCCCCAGGACCTCCCAGACTTCTCTTCCTCTTTGGTTTGCTTTTATGGGTTTTGTTTTGTTTTGTTTTGTTTTTTCTCTTTTGAGACAGTGTCTCATTCTGTAGCCCAGGCTGGCTTTAAACTGACAGTAATCCCCCTGCCTCCACCTCTCAAGTGCTGGGACTGCAAGCATGAGCCCTTCCACCTGCCCATCCTCCCAAACCAAAAACAGTTCTTTTCCGGAAGCCAGGATTGGAACAATGACTGCGCCCTTACATCTATGGCAGGAAATAGAATCTGGCACGATGTTTAAAATCCTTGAGAGAATGGGTAGAGCGCCTCAGGGTGCTCTCCATGCCCCCTCATTAATGGACACACAGTTCTGAGCAAAGAACATCCCTGGAAACGTCCCTAGTCAGCCCTAGAAACTGAATTCAGGGGAAGAGGCAGCATGCCTCAGACGTGTAACCCTTACTGACCGTTCATCATCAGCCGAGAGAGACGGAGGTACTGTGTGTGTGTGGTGTGGGTATGTGTGTGTGTGTGTGTGATGTGTGTGGTGTATGTGGTATGTGTATGGTGTCTGTCTGTGTGTGGTGTGTTTATGTGTGTGTGATGTGTGATGTGTGTGTGTGTGTGTGTGTGTGTGTGTGGGGTGTATGTGTGTGTGTGATGTGTGTGTGGTGTATGTGGTATGTGTATGGTGTCTGTATGTGTTGTGTGTGGTGTGTGGATGTGTGTGTGATGTGTGTGTGTGGGGGGGGGTGTATGTGGTACGTGTATGGTGTCTGTATGTGTGTGATGTGTGTGTGGGATGTGTGTGTGGTGTATGTGGTATGTGTATGGTGTCTGTATGTGCTGTGTGTGTGGTGTGTGTGTGTGTGGTGTATGTGGTACGTGTATGGTGTCTGTATGTGTGTGTGGTGTGTGTGATGTGTGATGTGTGGTGTATGGTGTGTGTGTGTATGATGTGTGATGTGTGTGTGGTGTATGTGGTATGTGTATGGTGTCTATGTGTGTGTGTGTGAGTGTGTGTGTGGTGTGTGATGTGTGTGTGGTGTGTGTGGTGTGTGTGTGGTGTATGTGGTACGTGTATGGTGTCTGTATGTGGTGTGTGTGTGTGTGATGTGTGGTGTCTGTGTGTGGTGTCTATGTGTGGTGTGTGTGTGATGTGTGTTCATGTTTCTGCCTATTGATCATCCACCTGAAGTTAGCTCAAAGCATCTTTTTTGTTGTTTTGTTTTTCAAGTCAGGGTTTCTCTGTGTAGCTCTGGCTGTCCTGGATCTCGCTCTGTAGACCAGGCTGGCCTTGAACTCACTGAGACCCACCTGCCGCTGCCTCCCAAGTACTGAGATCAAAGGCGGGTGCCACTACCACCCAGTTTAAAGCATCTATTAAGGAAATAGTGTACAGTGCTGGAGAGATGGCTTAGTGGTTAAGAGCCCTGGGTTCAATTCCCAGCACTCACATGGTAGCTTACAACTGTCTGTAACCCCAGTTCCAGGGGATCTAACACAGACATACATGTAGACAAAACACCAATGCACATAAAATAAAAAATAAAGAAATCACTTAAATAAAATAAGATAAATAGCCAGGCAGTGGTGGCACACGCCTTTGATCCCAGCACTCAGGAGACAGAGGCACAAGGATCCCTGTGAGTTCAAGGCTAGCCTGGTCTACAGAGTGAGATCCAGGACAGGCACCAAAACTACACAGAGAAACGCTGTCTCAAAAAACAAAACAAAACAAAAAAGATAAATATATTTAAAAAAAGAAGAAGAAAACAGTACATAAGGCTGGAGGAAATGCTTCCTTGGGTAAAAAGTACTTGCCACATGAGTCCAAGTGTGGAGAACTGACCCCTGAAAGTTGTCCACACAGCATGTGGACACACCTTATAGACACACAATAACAAAAAGCAAAGTTAAAAACAAAAAAAAAATTACCATCACCTCTCAACCTCTCGTCTAAACTCGAGTACAGGAAATAACTTAGCAAGGTTGGAAGTCACCCTCATACAGCATTTAACCGCTGTATGAATCTGTATGTATCTGGTGCTGCCTAGCCACTTCCTCCTCCCAAAGTTCCAGAACATTCCTATCTTTCCAAAATAAGAGCGCCTTGTGCCCGGCATCTTTCTTTTTTTTTTTTTTTTTTTTTCTTTTTTGGTTTTTCGAGACAGGGTTTCTCTGTGTAGCTTTGCGCCTTTTCCTGGAGCTCACTTGGTAGCCCAGGCTGGCCTCGAACTCACAGAGATCCGCCTGGCTCTGCCTCCCGAGTGCTGGGATTAAAGGCGTGCGCCACCACCGCCCGGCTGCCCGGCATCTTTCTTGAGTTAGAGGAGGAGTGAGTCTGGTAAGCACAGTTCAGCTGGGGAGGCTTTGCCTTCTCACGATGACTCAAAAAAGAATTTCTCAATGCGTTTTACAACGTCTGAAAGGATACGGAAAGGCAGCTCACAGAAGGCCAATAAGCTTAGGGGCAGGTGCTTAGCAGCCTGTCTGGACGAGGCAGACGAAAGCAAGACATCATTTTTCACAAACGGGATTAGTAAAGATAAAAGTGATTGATGGGGCCGAGCGTTGGCAAGGGTGTGGGGAAGCGGGCTGGCTCGTCCGACCACTGGTGGGGGTGTAAATTGGCGTAACCTTTGGGGAAAGCAATTTGTCACCCTCTGTTAAGTTTTATGCCCTCTGACTTCCAGGAACGGAGCCTGCAGAAGTGCCCGGGCGCGTATGCCAAGGCATAAGTAAAAAGGATCTCTTGTATGGAAATATGTTTTGAAATGGAGGCAGTTCCGAACGTGTCCGTTAATAGGGCCTTGGTTAAATGATGTCTCGTCAGTACGCCAGGACACAATGACGCTTTTGGGAAATGGGCAAAAATAATGAGATGGCTGTTTATGCAGTAACATGGCAATGTCTCCAAGATATAGTAAGAGATAAAGCAGATTTCCACATAAGCACGGATAGTATAATTCTCTCTCCCTATGAAATCGTGTATCTGTAAATGTTGGTGAGTCCCATGGACCAAACAATTACCCGTGCCTTTCTTGGGACAGGAGGCAGCATCATAGAATGTGGACGTTCTGTTTTATGAATGTCTAAAGGTTTGAGCTTTTTCTTTTCACAACGAATATGAAATGTCTTTCCATCAGAATGAAGAGCTAAGAATTTTGTAGAATTGGTAGACAGGCTGCCTGTCACTGGCTAATGGTTATTGATGCTATGCCAGAAATGGTTCTGAGCGCTTTTTTTTTTTTTTTTCTGAATTCACTAAGTTGTGCAGTTCAAGAAAGCATCCGTCACACCCAAAGGGGAACTGGTTCCTGGGCTGGCAATTGGGCTTCGTTTGTAGAATGTTTACCTCCCGTGTACAAAGTCCTGGGTTCTAGAGCTAGTACCCAATAAGCCAGGCATGCGTGCCTGGAGTGCCAGCACTTGGGAGTGAAGGCAGGGACACCAGAAATTCAAAGCTATAGCCTCAGCTGCATGGTGAGTCTGAGGCCAGCGTGGACCACATGAGAAAACCAGAGGAGCAAACTCTGGTTCCCATCAGCAGGCACTGCCCAGCCCCGCATCCCCGTGTCCTGGAAACCACTGGCCTGCTTCTGTCTTATGAACTTTTCTATACACGTGAATATAAGTTCATATTCCTATATATGGAGTCACAAACACAGCGTGTAGCCTTCTGGGTCTGGCTTGCTTCTTTCTTTCTTTTTTTTTTTTTTTTTTGGAGCTGAGGATCGAACCCAGGGCCTTGTGCTTGCTAGGCAAGTGCTCTACCACTGAGCTAATTCTCCAACCCCAGGCTTCTTTCACTTAACACGCACTTCTTGAGACTTAACCACTTTGTGACGTGAACTACGGCCTAGGATGCCCCTATCCTGTCTACCCTTGTGTCTGAGGATGCTCACAGCCATTTGCATTGTTTCCATTATGTAGCGGTCGTGAGCACTAGGGTGCCGGGTTCGGCATAGACAGACGTGCACAATTTCTTGAATGGCCCTAGGATTGGGGTTTCCATAGCCCCCACTCCCCACGACTCCCCCAATCAGAGCCAAAGATCCTAGTCTTTTCATACCTTGTTCCTGGATTCTTACCTCTCTTCCCCTGCCTCTGTGCACTTACCAGCCAGCATGTGGAAGGGCCTCAGGAAAAGGCATGAGCTGATGCGTTGTCCTCGACCTGGTGGGCTCTGTAGCGTTCCAAAGTGTTGAGCCTCCCACAGCCCAGCAGAGAAAGCTCACCTTGAAAACTGTCCCTACCCCTGGGTCCCCTTGCTCTGCCTCTGTCCCTTTCCCATCACTGTTTAGGCCTCTTAGATCCCTGTCCCCTGCCTTTATTTACCTTTTTCTTCCTGATGCCCATTCTCCTGCTGTTCAAGCTGTTCTGCCTGCCTCTGATCCCTCATTCTGCCCACAGCTGGCTGCCCCCCTAGAAATACTTCGCTCCAGACCCTGGGACTCACAGCTGTCTCTGCCCTTCTCACTTCAAAACAGTTCTTTGTCTCCGGTCCTGTCTCAGTAGCAGGGGCTAGACCTTGGGCATTTCTGCATCCTGACTGCCTTGCCTCATGCCTGGCATGAGAAGGACCTCTCACGAGGCTGGTGTGATAGGATCAATTGTCCTTTATCCAGCACTCACATCCCACAGAGGGACCTCACCTCAGAGCAGGCTCCTTGTTCAGGGATGCAGCTGGAATTAGAGAAATCCAGCTGGGTACGGTGGCTTGTACCTCCAGCTAGGGAGGAGGCTGAGGCAGGAGGCGCTCTTGAGCCTGGGGTTTGAAGCCAGCCTGAGCAAAATACTAAGATTTAAAAAAAAAAAAAAATGTGGAGCCAGTGAGATGAATCAGTGGATAAATACTGCCAAGCCCAAGGACCTGAGTTCCATCTTGGGATGGGAGGCGAGGACCACCTCCCATACGTTGTACATACCACCACACATGAACACAAAGATTTAATAAGAAATTTTAAAGTCGAATTAGAAGCCAATGGATGTGGAGACCTGTGTGTCCCATAGCCCTGTATTTAGGGATGTCTGGGACAGACAGAAGGTGGTGTCTCATTCCAGTCCGTGGGCCTGACCTGAAGAATTGGGTGGTTGCTTGCATCCTGCCAAGGCATGCCATTTCCTCGAAGCCCTGTCAGTGGTTCACAGACAGTTTCTTAGGGCATAGTGTCAAGAGGAAAGTCCACACCACTGCCACTGGAAGCTGCCTTCACAGTCCGTTTCCCTCAGCTCCCTAGAGCATTTGCTGCCGGGAGCCAAGGCCCCTTATTTACAGCGGCCGCTGGCAGCGCTTGAATGAGACGTTCTTGCGTAGGGACTAGCTGAGTGACGAGACAGGAAATCCAGAGTAGTGGTGCATGCCTGTTAATCCCCAGCACTCAGGAGGCTGAGGCAAGGAGGATTGTGAGTTTTGGGCCAGCCTGGACTACATAGCAAGACTCTGTGTCTCAAAACAAAACAAAAAACACCATCAACAACAGAACAAAAACCCCAAACCCCAACATAAGTATGGTAGTGCCAATTCTAGTCTTAAAACATACATTGAAGTTTATGGGGTTTACCCTCTTTTTGTTTTTTTTTTTCCTATACAGAAAGACGCTTCTCGGACCGGCTTACGGGTCTCCTATCGAGCATACCCAGGTGCTCCCCGTAAAGAACACATTCGAGCTGCAGAAACGCCACTTGGTGTTCATCAACAAAGACAAGGTGGGCCCCCTTTCTCGGCCCCTGCAAGATGTCTGTGCAGGGAGTCCACAGACCGTGAGATCCAGGGCCGGGGAGACGGCTAGCCAGGAAAGCCGCTTACCGCCTGGTCTCGGGGCCCGAGTTTGAGCCCTGGAGCCCGGTGAGAGGAAGAGACTGCCTTGGGAAAGCTGTTCTTCGACTTCCCAACAGGCACTGGGGCACAAATGTCCTTTCCCAAATAAATACATTTAATAATCACGTAGATGATAAGACGACCCCTGGGTCCTCAGTTCTGCTGCACAGAATTGCCTCCATGTGGGTCATCGGCCAAACTGAAAATGGCCACAGGTGGGTGAGAAGGGCTTCTGGGAGGCATTTCTTTCTTTTTCGTGTGTGTGTGTGTGTGTGTGTGTGTGTGTGTGTGTGTGTGTGTGTATGTGCGCATGCGCACCACAGTATGCACGTGGAGGTCAAAGGACAACTTTCAGAGGTCAGTTCTCTGCTTCCACCATGTGGGTCCTGGGGGTAGAACCCACTCAGGCCTGGCCACAAGTGAGCCATCTCGCAGGCCCCAAGGAGACAGTTTTGAAGCGTTCTCAAAGTTTCCCAGTGAAAACTCATAGCCTTCCAAGTTACGCTTTTCTTTCTTTTTATTGACCTGGAAAAATCTAATTTACATGGAAGGTACACAAATCAGTGACACCTCGTCCTATGCTAAACTTGACTCTGACAGATGGCTCCAGATGCGTGCATACGTAGCACAAGGGTCTGGAGATAAAGCTCAGGTGTGCCAGGCTAGCTGGAGACTCAGGCACTCGAGTCTGAATATCTAATTACACTTGCCTCTCTAGGTCGGACTCCAGATCTTACCTGTTGACGGCAATCCACACAAAACGTGTGCTATCGTTTGCCACCCAAGCGGGGTGGCTGGCATGGCCCTTTCCTATGATGGCCGCTATGCCTTCACAGCCGGAGGCGAAGACTGTTCCGTGGCCCAGTGGGAAATCAACTTAAGGTATGTGAGGGGACAGAACCCGACCCCACGTGGAAGGGTAGACATCCTTTTTCAGACGAGATATTTGTGTGCGTGTTTGCGTGTGCATGCACGCACATGTGTGCGTGCTAGTATGCACTTACGAGTGTGGGTGCTTGAGGCGGCCAGAAGAGGGCATTGGATCTCCTGGAGCTGGAGTTCATGGAGGTGTGAGCCATTTACACAAGGGCTTTTACCCGCTGAGCCCTTGCTCCAGCCCAGAGACCCCTTCTTCTCCTTCAGTCACAACAGCTACAGAGTGCCTGCTACATGCCCCATGCTAGGAACAAAGAGTACCCGGCTCTCAGGATGCTTCCTGGTGACGTGCGCAGATCAAAGGCTGCTGTGCAGACGCATGGACCCTGCACTTAACTTCCAGGTTGGGTGATGAGAGTGCCCCTGCCTCTGGCTGGCTCCCTGAAGCATTTCTCAGCGTCTGTGCATCCTCATGCTGGCCGGAGAGACCAAGGCTGAGCCTCCAGAGTGGGCATTTACAGAAACAGTAAGGGTGGATTAAAGATCTGTTGCCGGTAGGGCTCCTCTGCCCCCCTCTACCCTGAGAGGAGACCTGGTCTGCCTAAAGTGAAGCTGGAAAATGCTAGACGTGTACACCAGAGTAAGAACATATAGGTCCTTTAAGGTCAAAAAGATAAGGGTTGCGGTATAGCTTGGAGTCTCTGCTCCAGAATCCGGGCGGTTTTCGTAATGTCGCTAATCCTTAGAGTCTGTCTCTGTAGTGGGGGTAACAACTTTTCAGGGTCCTGTATGGATCAGACAGGTGGACATAGGTGAATGCAGTAGCCAATCTATAAATTATGGCATCCTTCCTTTCCTCCTGAAAAGGGCATTTGTGTATGAGACGGGACAAGCGCTGAACGGGACCCTCTCATCCATCTAAACGCAGTGGTCTGAACCAGGGTGGAGCCAAGGGCTGGGCTTAGCCAGATCCTGTTTCTCATGACCCGGGCCACGCAAGCTCCAGGGGCAGACGGCCCTGGCACCTCCCTCCCTCAAAGAGCAGCCTGATTCACGGCTCCCGGTAATGTCTACCCTGCCATCTGCCAAGGGCGCATCTTTCTCTTTACGGCAGATGTTAACGCTTTCTTTCTTACTCTGAACTTGAGTAAAAATAACTGACAAAATCTGTTCGGGTGCCATGACGGCTTCAGGGTGCGGCTGCAACTCTGCCTTTTGCCTCTGCCAGCTGGGTGAGCCGATCCAGGGACCTGGGGGACTGGGAAATGTGTGTGTGTGTGTGTGTGTGTGTGTGTGTGTGTGTGTGTGTGTGTGTGTGTGTGTGTGTGAGAGAGAGAGAGAGAGAGAGAGAGAGAGAGAGAGAGAGAACGCTAGCTCTCCATCCAGAAGCACTTACCCAACAGGTCCAGTGTGGCACCCACGAGCCACCTGCAATCCTTGGGGCCAGTGGCCCGCTGGAGGGAGGTGAAGTCTCCCATTTTTTGCCTTCAGCCCTTGTGGGATCCGATAGGGATCTCCAGTAGCCTCCTTATGCTTGGCCAGAATCCAGGCTTCTGAGAATTTCAATTTAATCTGTTGTGAGGACAAAGGATCATTATAAACTAATTAGCGCTTTATTGCTGCTTCTGGTGACTTAATATGTTCCGCATTTCACTAATGGAAAGAAATGTAAAAACCCCAAACAAGTAAACAATACACTTCTCTCCCAGGGCCCAGGCTGTAGCTCGGTGCTTGACTAACATGCATGAACGTTTGGGTTCTACCCCAATACCGCACAGACGCATGTGCTGGTTTGTTTTATATCAACTTGACAAAGGTTAACATCATCTGAGAGGAGGAACCTCCATTGAGAAGATGAGTCCATAAGATGGGGCTGTAAACAAGCCTGTAGAGCGTTTGATTCTTTAATTCTCAGGGCAGCCCTGGATGACCCTACCTACCCATTTCGCAGATGAGGAAACTGAGCAGAGGTGGTAAAGCTCAAGGTCGTACAGCTTACAAGTGGCGGAGTCGGGGCTCACAGGCACGTCCCTGTGACTCCAGTTCTGGACCCTTCAGTTCTTACCGTAGGTCTTCACTGAAGTGGGTTCTAATTCACTGAACTAGCAGAAATCCAGTGAGTGGCTTTTTTTTTTTTTTCATTACAGTGACTTTAGATTATTTGCCTTTTGTGTGAGGAAAAGTCAGCTGGTCTCATGCAAAAGTAGGTTTTCTTCCCATTCAAAGGGCCTATTTTTGGAGAATCTGACCCCATGCTAGAGAGCAGAGGGCTATTTTTATCCACTTGGCATGGGTCCCTGTGATCTCCCGGGCTTTTCTGGAAGCAATTAGCGCCGGCAGTACACCTGCACGACACCCCATCCTTTTGGCGCTGGTCGGCCGTGCTCAGCTCGAGAGGGTTGAGGTCTCAGACTGGAGCCTCCCCCCCGCCCCGCACCCCCAGGAGAGATGTGGTCCCCAAAGATTGCAGACAAATTGCCAAGCACCTGCCCTATCATCAGAATGAGCATCTCACCATAATTAAGGTGGGTGCCCTGTACGGCTGCCTTCCATGCTTGAAACTGAATTGTCTGTCACAGGCTTCATCACCGAGGGACAAGAGACCCTGCCGAGGCCACCGTCTGTGTGACTCCATGACTTCATGCATGAGTCCTTCCTAATGGCGATGTTTCTCCTTGTTCCAGTGCCCTGGAGGCGGCTGTTTCTCTCGGGGGTGAAGACTTGACCCCGTTCTACGGTCTGGTGGCCGGCGGCAGGGAAGGAAAATTCTACAGGGTAATTGTCACCAAAACACTTCCTGGGGACGTCTAGTCAAGGCTGTAGAGCAAACATTAGAGACTGACGCTCTGTGCTTTTCCATAACGCCCCCTCCCCCTCCCCGAGCTTAGACTGCGCTTTCTAGAAAATGTCCCCAGTGTGCCTGACTGTTCCGTGTGCTGTTCCTGTCTGGTCCCGCACAGGAGCTGGAAGACTACTTCTACTATTCCCAGCTCCGCAGTCAAGGGATCGACACGATGGAGACCAGGCAGGTGTCGGAACACATCTGCCTCTCGGAGCTCCCCTTTGTCATGAGAGCGATTGGTTTTTACCCATCCGAGGAGAAGGTAGGTAGAGCGCCCGCAAGATCAGAGCTGGGATGGGCTATTTATATCAAGCGCCTCTGGGAAGAGTCACTGTAGGCCAGCCTGGAAACATGCCATTTTTTTTTTCTGAAGTAAATAGATCAGCAAGAAGATTCTGAGGACTTCAAATGGGCTGAGTAACTGACTGAAGGTTAAGATGCACCCATTCCCCAAGACAGACTCCTTGTGGATGTGGGGTATTACGTGCAGCAGGCCTCATCAACCTCTGCTGCACCCCCCTCCTTTTTTTTTTCTTTGAGACAGGATCTCTATGTAGCCCTGGCTGTCCTGGAACTCTCTGTAGCCCAGGCTGGCCTTGAACTCACAGATATCTGCCTGCCTCTGCCTCCCCAGTGCTGGGATCAAAGGCGTGCGCCACCACGCCGGGCCTGCAAAACCTTTTTTGCTCAAGAATTTTTTATACAACCCTGGGTATATTGGTATATAAAATAGGTACAAATCAAACATTTTGCTGATTAAAAAGCAATGAAGAAATCTATTTTAAAGGAATTTTTGTGGCTTCCATACAGTTTTACCATTTGTTGAAGACAAAAACAAATTTTCATACTATTGAGATGGTCATGTTCATTTGTTCTTACATAAAGAATAGAGTCTTCCTGAATGTCCGATGCTGCAGGAGGTAGAGTACCTTCAATGTTTTTCAGAGGTGGCTGAGATTTGGTTTTGTCATTGTTCATCCCAAGAATACTGCTTCACATAAATGCATGATGCCAAAATAGTCAAGGCGTATTTAGGGCCATTTCAGAAGTGGTTGGAAATTCTAAACTCAAGTCAAACTTTATACAGTGATTTTTAAAAAATGAAACTTTAGTCAGCAACTCAAACAGCAATTCTTAAACATTTTAAGTTGAGGATCTAGCTCAACAGAGCTCTTGCCTAGCATGCCCGAGGCCCTAGGTTCGAGCCCCAGGACTAGGGAAAAAAAAAAAAATGGAACTTCTAATGGAGTACATTCCAAATATATTCTGGTACTCACATGCTGAGCAGCAATGGTAGGAATATGGAGAGTCTTTGTTTTCCACAGTTAAATGATGACATTTCTGCAGAAAAGACACTGCAGTCTGAAGTGTGTAGTAGCCACGGATCCCAGCCGAGGTTCTTGTCGGCACTCAGTGGTGTTTTGCGGCATGAAGGCATTTATGGGCAAGCGTGTGTGTGTGTGTGTGTGTGTGTTCAGAACCAAGGCTGCAGAGAGGTTGCTTGACGCAGCACAGGGTGATGAGTGCTGCCGTGAGCCCCTCAGATTGATGGCAGGTTTGACCTTGAGCATATTTTCAGTTGTTACGTCTTCAGAAACCATTTACTGCTACCAAGCTTGTAAATTCACTGCATCGCCCCATATGGGGGTTGCAACCCATAGTTTAAAAGATGTATTTATTTTTATTTAATATGTATGAGTGTTTGGCCTGCACGCATGTTTGTGTACCATTGTGTGTACCTGGTGCCCATGGAGATTAAAAGAGGGTGCTGGATCCCCTGGAACTGGAGTTACAGACAGCTGTGAGCTGCCATGTGGTTGCTGAGAACTGAACCTGGGTCTGGGTCTGTTGTACCCAGAGTCCCCCAAAGATTCTTTATATTGTGAGTTAACTCGGGTCTCGCCATCCGTCGGATGCAGCGGCAGAGCAGGAGAGACCCCAAGTAGCAATAGGGCAGGGTTTTTAAAGCAAGGGGGGCTTGGTGTCTACAGACTGCATAGGAACAGACTCAGGATTGGTTTATGCAAGTGGCAATCATGTTAGTAACTTTTAATTGGCTGGAGTTAGTTGGGGGTTACAGTTATCCATTTCTGGGCAGTCTGGCACAAGCCCCAGGCTCTGTCCTTGAGCTGCCATGGGGCTGGCTGGCCTAGCACATGCTGACTGTGGGGGCTGACTCAGTGGCCCAGGCTCTGTCCTTGACCCATGCACTTAGCTCTGAGTTGGTGAGGGGTCCCAGACAGTAAACACCTGGCTGAACCTTGAGCGGTCAGAGTAAGGGCAGAAAGGGAGCTACTGCAAGGACTATGTAATGGCCCTCCCAGAAACTGCTTGCTCAAGTCTCAGGAAACCGAAATTGAGGCCTGATCTCTGAGAGAAGACTGAGCAGCCTGTTATGGCGTCTGCCTGGTCCTTTCAGGTCCTCTGGAAGAGCAGCCAGTGCTCTGACCACTGAGCAGCCTCTCCAGCCCTAAACCTACACAATTTAAGAAGCAGAGAGTCAGGGGACGCAGAACTGGGCATGTGAGGCTGGTCTACCTCGGCCCTCCCTGGGCAAGGACGAGAACCCTGGGCTTCAGGGGGGTGATGTGTCCCAGGCAGGGAGCACATTACCGGCTGTGTAGAAAGAGCTCGGTACCTTGTCTCCTTCTGTATAGTTGCCATTGGCCTGGGGTATGTTCTTGGGGCAACTCCAGGAGGTGGACGGATGCTGGGCCTGACTCTGTGGCTCAGACATGAGTCTGACCACATGGCAGAAATCCCCAGACACTAACAGCCCTGGACAGGGCCAAGGAGCCCACGTGTGTTCCTAACGGGAACTCTTCTAAATATAACTTACAGGATTTCCTTTCTGAGTTGAAATGTGATACAGTCTCATTGCAGAAAATTTGGGAAAGATATGCAGGTAGAATGAAGAAAAGTTACTTATAATATAATCCTACCACCCAGACTTGACCCTTACTATTATTCCTGGTGTTTAGGCAGGGAATGTTGACTACACTGAATATAAATGACTGTCTTGTATCCTTATGTTGTATGACATGTTATAAGCACTTTCCACTTGGTTAGAAATTCTCTAGAAAAAAATATGTTCTTTTTAAGGGACTTATTTTTGTGTTTATATGTGATGTATACATGAGGGGGTGTGGGGGTGTTGTCCTGTCTATCACTCTCCCTTTTTAAAAAAAAGGTCCTTATTTATTAGCAGGGCAGTGGTGGCACACGCCTTTAATCCCAGCTCTTGGGAGGCAGAGGCAGGCAGATCTTTGTGAGTTCGAGGCCAGCCTGGTCTACAGAGTGAGATCCAGGACAGGCACCAAAACTACACAGAGAAATCTTGTCTCAAAAAACAAAA